GCCCTTGGAGGCCCGGCTACGACGACAACGGCTCCCGTTCGATACTTCTTCGCAATGTACCCCGAGACAACTTGGCCAGAGAGACCCCCGAACTTAGGAACGGCGCTTTTGCTCGAGACTTCCTCGCACTTCAGTCATGTGGCGGAGGCCCAGCCACGATGACAAGGGCTCCTGCTCGATACGTCCTCACGATTTACTCCGAGAGCCCCTGGCCAGGAAGGCTCCCGAACTCAGGAACGGCGCTCTCGCTCGAGACTTTCTCCGCGATTCAATCAAATGGGTGGAGGCCCAACTACGACGACAGGGGCTTTCGTTCGATACTTTCTGAAATATGTATTCGCAGAGGCCATTGCCAGAGAGGCCCCCGAACTCAAGAGTGGCGGTCTCGCTCGAGATTTTCTCGTAATTCAGGCAAGTTGGTTGGGGCCCAGACACGGCAACAAGGGTTCCCGTTCGATATTTCTCAATATGTATTCCGAGAGCCCCTGGCCTGGCCAACGAGGTCTCCGAATTCAGGAACGGCGCTCTCGCTCGAGAGAGAGTTCCTCGCACTGCAGTCAGTGGCCGACAAGGAAGATATTCCCCCCGGAAGGGGGTGCGATCGAAGACGAAGTAGGCGGGTGTCGAGAGTTGGGGCATACATAATGCAGGACATGCGTGCCAGTAAGAGCGACCAGTCTTAAACTGATTGTTGTTGTTGTTGCTGTTGTTGTTGGTGGTGTTGGTTTTGTTGTTTGTGTTGATGAAGGCTCATTTCTGAGGATAATCATTGTTGATCCGCCCCCCGGCGCACACGGTATTTTTCCAAATGAAGTGCCCCTCCCGGGGGTCGCACCCAGTTTTTGTGTCAGAGAAGATCTTGAGGGTCAAACTTGCCCCTTGGCCCCCCGAACTACAACAACAACAACGGCTCCCGCGCAAAACTCCCTCACAATGTATTCCCAAATCGCGCTCTCGCGCAGGACGTCCTTACAATTTATGCAAGAATCGAGCTCCCGGGTGGGACTTATTTGGAATTTATTTACACGCCGCGCCCTCGACACTGAGGAATCGCGCTGTCGCTTTGGTCTTTTTGCGCGCTCGAGACTTCTGCCTGGGCCCGCCTTCCCGATCCGCCCGCTAGGGTCTGCCCGCCCGATCTGCCAATCTGGTCCTGCCACTTATTTTCTGCTCCTAGCCCCCGTCCTGCTGACTTCTCTCGTGCTTAATCCTTCCCCCTCCCCCTTCCATCCGTCTTCCCTTCCGCTGTTTTAGGGGCTACGCTAGTTTCGCGCGGCAGGTAAGGACGATATATCCACAAGGGGGTACCATCGAAAACGATGGGGGCGGGTACCGAGGGTTTGGGATATACGTGGATAGTGGCACGCGAGCAGATAGGAGCGAACAATTTTGAAATGATTGTGGCTGCTGTAGCTGAACTTTCATTCTTGAAATTGCTGTTGATCCCTTTCTCACCAATTCAGATGACATTTTTATTTGAAGTGCCCCCCTCGGGCTTCGCTCCTTGTTTTATCAGGGGAAGTATTCCTGCTCAGACTGCGCTGTTGGGCCCCGGTTGCATTTTACAGATGGATCCATTCTGAGGGCTGCACAAGAAGTCGTGTTATTTAATCGCTTCGCTCATTCCGCCGGCCCATGCAGTCTCATGTCTGCCGTTTGCCCGAGGGCCTGGTGTCAATGCGGCGCTTTGGGGGTTCCTGGGGCCGCTTGGGGGACTCCTGGGGCGCTCGGGGTGGCATTTGGGGGGCCTCCTGGGGCCGCTTGGGGGACTCTTGGGGGCCTCCTGAGGGCCTCGTGGGGGCCTCTTGGGGCCTCTTAGGGGCCTCTTGGGGCCTCGTGGGGGCTTCTTAGGGCCGAGGGCTCGAAATGTTGTTTCGTGTTCCCTCTCTGGGGCCCCTTTGGGGGCGTTCTTGGGGCCCTCTTGGACCGTCTTGGAGGCTTCTTGGGCCGTCTTCGAGCCCTCTTGGGCCATCTTGGGGCCCTCTTGGGGGCCTCTTGGGCCCTCTTGGGGCGATCTTGGGGGCCTCTTGGGCCGTCTTGGGGCGTCGGGAAGCCGAAAAGGTGGAAGCTCTAAAATCTCTCAAAAACCTAAGGAAAAGCAATGAATGTTGCCTCCGGGGGCCCTCTTGGGAGTGCTCTTGGAGGCCTCTTGGGGCGTCTGGGGGCTATCTTGGGCGTCTTGGAGCGACCTTGTGGCATGTCGGACCCCTCGTGTACCATCTTGGGGGCCTCTTGGGGGCTTCTTGGCATTTCTTGGGGCTCTCGGGGACGTCTCGGAGCCCTGTTGGTGCGCTCATGGGGCGCTCTGGTGGAGTCGCCCGGGGATCAGCCGGGAGTCGCCCGGGGTACTTTTCGTCCGGGGACCCCCAGGGGCCGCCCCGCGCGCGCGAACTAGAGAATTGTTAACCAGTTACCGGAGATCTTACCAGCACGCCAATAACTTCTCTTGCAAGTAATATAAGGGGCGGCGGATCGGAGACGCCCACGGCGAGACACCGCCGCCTCCTGCCTTTCAGGGTACGCCTATGTGGCCAAACGTTTGGGCAACGTTTGGCCACGCTAGTGCGCCATTCGTTCCCCAGCCGCTGCGGAAGCCCTTTGAGGAACACGTGGGGGAGGAAGGGGAGGATGAGGAGAAGGAGGATACAGGAGGAGGAGGAGGAGGAGGAGGAGGAGGAGGAGGAGGAGGAGGAGGAGGAGAAAGATGAGCAGCCCGCTTGGAAGCTGTTCGGGTCATTCTTGGGGCCTCCTGGGAGCTTCCTGGGGGCCTCTCGGAGGCCTCTTGGGGGCCTCCTTGGGGGGCCTCCTTGGGCCTCTTGGGGGCCTTTGGGGGCTTCTTGTAGGCATCTGTGGCAGTTTTGCAGCGTTCCTAGCCCGTCTGACGCCGTCAGAAGCCGTCTTGGGAGCCTCTCTGAGCCGTCTTGGGGCGTCCTTGGGCCGACATGGGGCCATCTTGACGGTCTCTATGGGCGATCTCGAGACAATCTTGGGGGCCTCCTGGGCCGTCGGAAGGCCGTGTTTGAGCAAATGCCACAGAGGCTTCTTGGGCTGTCTTCGGGGCCTCTTGGGCGCTCCTCGGGCCGTCTTGGGCTCTCTTGGACCATCTTGGCGATCTCGGATGCATCTTGGGACCGTCTTGGAAGCCATCCTGGGGCTATCTAGCGCTCTCTTGGGGCCATCTTGCCCCTGCCTGTCTTGGAGGCATCTCGGAAGCCATCTTGAGCAATATCAGAGCCATCCGGAGCAGATCAATCCTTGCCAGCCGGGTTTGGACGAGTTCTCCCAGCGGTTGGCGCGCTGGGCCGAAGCCCAACAACCTAGAGCCAGCAGGCGTCTATCGCGCCGTGCACCCCCGTGATAAGTCAGCAGGAGGCGGCGGATGACGGAGAGAGCGATGTACGAGCAAGAGACGTTTCGCAGGGGGCGAAGCCCTTGTGGGGAGGGGGTCCGGGGGAGGGGGCTAGCGGGGGAACAAAAGTCTAGTTGCTCTCGCGCTTCGTTTTTTCCCGGAAAGGGCCTGAGCCCAGGGTTCTCTTTTAGTTGGTTTCCCCCCGGTTTTGACGGCTGTAGGGCCGGCGAATTTCTTTTGCGATAAATAACGAGGTCGCGTAGGGCCGGCGAATTAAAATTTGAGGATGTCTCGAGCGAAACGCTTGTTTTTCAGAATTTGTTGAGGATGTCTCGAGCGAAACCCTTGTTTTGTGTTATAGATTGTTTTTTCCTGGGGACATGATTTCTGAGGATCTCTCAAGTGGATTGCTTGTTTTCACGTGCCCAGGTCTTGAGGATGTCTCGAGCGAGACGCTTGGTTTCACGCCTCCAGGTGGCCCAGACAGATGTCTAGCATGAGGATTTGTTGAGGATGTCTCGAACCAGAGGCTTGTTTTCACGTGTCCAGGTCGCCCAGGCGGATGTCTAGCATGAGTATTTGTTGAGGATGTCTCGAGCGAGACGCTTGTTTGCACGTGTCCAGGTTGCCCAGGCGGATGTCTAGCATGAGGATGTGCTGACAACGTCTTGAGCGAAACGCGTGTTTTCACGTGTCCAGGTCGCCCAGGCACATCACAGCCCTCGGCACGGTACATCAATATCGATACCCTTAGCATTGCAGCCTGGCATGTTGCCTGGCACGTTCCGCGGAGCGTCCCGTGGCGAGTCCCCCTGGCACGTCGCGCGGTGCACGTCCATTGGCACGTTTCGTAGCGCGTCCCCTTGGCACGTCCCGCGGTGCGTCCCCATGGCACGTCCCCTGGCACGTCGCCTGGCGCGTCCCTTGGGACGTTCCGCGGCGCGTCCTCCTGGCATGTTCCCTCTGTGTAGTTCTGGGGCAGCTACCATCTGCTCAGGCAGCTCGAGCTTACGATCCAGATCAGTTCAGTGAGGACTCGGATGCCAGGGAGGACTCGATTTACAAGGCTATATGGAGCACAATTGCGGCATGGCACATCGCAGTTCAGCACGGCCCAGCACAGCACAGCCGTCGGCACGGTACATCAAGATCGATACACTCAACTATGCACCTTGGCGCGTTCCGTGGCGAGTCCACCTGGCACGTCGCGCGGCGCGTCCACTGGCACGTCCCTCGGCACGTCCATTGGCACGTTCCGTAGCGCGTCCCCTTGGCACGTCCCGCGGTGCGTCCCCATGGCACGTCCCCTGGCACGTCGCCTGGCGCGTCCCTTGGGACGTTCCGCGGCGCGTCCTCCTGGCATGTTCCCTCTGTCGATTAGTTCTGGGGCAGCTACCATCTGCTCAGGCAGCTCGAGCTTACGCTCCAGATCAGTTCGGTGAGGACTCGGATGCCAGGGAGGACTCGATCCACAACGCTATATAGAGCACAATCGCGGCATGGCACATCGCAGTTCAGCACGGCGTAGCACAGCACAGCCCTCGGCACAGTACATCATCATCGATACATTCAGCATTGCATGTGCCCGTCGCCCAATCAGGTGTCTTTGAAATGTTGCAATGCCTTACATTTCTATATTCCTTTCCGGGTTCGTGGGTCGATCATGTTTGTCGAGTGAAGCGGCTCCCGCCCCAAGAGAGCCCGTAGCCATTTGGGCTCAAGGGCCCGTGTCAGATGAAGTTATCCGCCGCGTTAGTGTTTTTGGGCTATGTGCGGATTGATATATGGGCAATGGGTGAATCAAGGTCTAACTCAACGGAAAGGGGTGCAAGACTGTGGCTTCATGTGGGTCCCCACAAAACTGCTTCGACAACAATTCAGAAACAACTTAAAGCTTGGCAGACCTCTCTAACAAGTGACGGCTGGACGTTGGAAGACCCTGCGCAGTTCGGACACTTTGAATTTAAACGAATGACTCAAATCGCGAACGTTGCAGAGTGTTATCAGGGGAGCCATTCCTGGTACTAGTACAGGACATACAAAGAAACAATTTGTTCAGATTGGCTGCACTTTCTTGACCAGCTCAAAGGAACTTCCAAAAAGGTGTAGTGATGTCTAGTGAGCGTTTCGACCAGATCAATGACACCAGCGTCGCACAGCTCGCGTTTGACTTAAGCCACATCAGTACCACCATCGTGATGGTTTACCGACCATTTTACGATTGGATCGCAAGTTGGTATCGGCAGCTCAAGGCTAACGGGCAGGTTGAATTGGCCTTCGCAGATTGGCTAAGCGTTTCACAGATGGAGCGCTACGCGTACAACTACTCGTTCACGACTTCTCTACATAGTCGCTACGCCGCTCATTTTTCTGATGTGAAGGTGCACGTGATGGGCCCCGATATGATGACCGATATTGTCTGCGATGACTTCAATGCTGCGAACACGTGCGTGACGTCTAGGAAGGCCAAAGTGATGAAGCTAAACGTCAGAGCAGAATCTTCGCCACATGAATGCCTCAGTTCTCTGCAGCTGCAAACGCTGAGAACTATATCCATTGAGTTGCACCGAGCGGCGTACGGTATCTTGGCATCTTCAAGTTTTCCCGCATCAGATTTCGATGCCAAGGCCAGGATTTGTTTCGGCAATCCCTTTTAGACCAAAGACACCCACCCTCGCGTTGGCGAGTTGTGAGGCGCTGTAGCTACTAGGGGTCGGCCAAATCGCTGTTTTCGGTAATCTCGTGGGTCGTTTTCATTTTCTGCTCAGTTCTGACGACGACGAAGCATTCAGTTTCAGTTTTCTGCTCATTTTCTGCTCGTTACGCAAAATCGGCCGACCCCTGGCTGACGCTTGCCTGAGCTGTAGCTACCTTAGCTTGCGCTCAGTTGGGCTCCCGCTCGGAACGCCTTTCGGAGCTCCTGTGCTGAATGTGGTCCTCCGTCGGGATCTGTGCGCGTTTCATGAAACAGGGGTTGAGGCTTCAATGTTTCTGGCTCCATTCGCGATCTTGACCCTTGGTCGAATCGCGGCTCTTGCGAGAGATCTTTTTCCCGGAAAGGGCGCGGGCCCAGGGTTCTCTTTTAGTAGGTTAACCCCCCGGCCCCCCTGCGACTTGGGCCGGCGAAATTATTCTGCGATAAATAACGAGGTCGCGTAGGGCCGGCGATTTTTCCCGGAAAGGGCTCCGGCCCAGGGTTCTCTTTTAGTAGGTAAACCTGTCCCCCGGTGCCAACTTGAAGGAGGCCGGCGGATTTTTTCCCTGATAAATATCGAGGTCGAAGGACGCCGGCGGATTAAAATTTTGAGGATGTCTCGAGCGAAACGCTTGTTTTTCAGAATTTGTTGAGGATGTCTCGAGCGAAACGCTGGTTTTGCAGAGTTGGGGATGTCTCGAGCGAAACGCTTGGTTTCAGAATTTGTTGAGGATGTCTCGAGCGAAACGCTGGTTTTGCAGAGCCGACCGCGACACGGAAAAGCGCTCCTCGCGCAGGAATTCCGAGGATGTCTCGCGCGTGCCGCGTCCCGCACGCAGGAATTTCGAGGATGTCTCGACTAATTCGTTTGTTATTCTAGGATTTCGCTGAATTTCGGAAAGATGTCTCGAGCGAAATGCACGACCCCACCGTAGCACGACCACACCCCAGCACGACCACACCCCAGCACGACCACACCCCAGCACGACCACGCCCCAGCACGACCCCACCCCAGCACGACCACACCCCAGCACGACCACACCCCAGCACGACGCCACCCCAGCACGACCCCACCCCAGCAAGACCACACCCCAACACGACCACACCCCAGCACGACCTCACCACAGCACGACCACACCCCAGCACGACCACGCCCCAGCACGACCACGCCCCAGCACGACCACGCCCCAGCACGACCACGCCCCAGCACGACCACCCCCCAGCACGACCACACCCCCAGCACGACTACCCCCCAACACGACCACCCCCCAGCACGACTACTCCCCAGCACGACCACTCCCCAGCACGACCACACCCCAGCACGACCACACCCAAGCACGACCACACCCAGTCGCACCCCCGTGGAATGTTTCGTGGTGTGTCTGGTTGAGTGGTTGCCTGTTCACGGGGTGTCTCGTGGAATGTTTCACGGGGTGTCTCGTGGAATGTTTCGTGAGGTGTCTCGTGGAATGTTTCGTGAGGTGTCTCGTGGGATGTTTCGCGGGGTGTCTCGTGGGATGTTTCGTGAGGTGTCGCCCAGTTGGGTATCGTGAAAACGTGACCATGCTGCACATGTCTATATCCCTTTCCGGGTTCGTGGGTCCATCATGTTTTTTTTCCCGGAAAGGGCATAAGCCCAGGGTTCTCTTTTAGATGGTTTCCCCCCGGGTTTGACGGGAAGAGGGCCGGCGAATTTCTTTTGCGATAAATAACGAGTGGGAAGAGGGCCGGCGAATTAAAATTTGAGGATGTCTCGAGCGAAACGCTTGTTTTTCAGAATTTGTTGAGGATGTCTCGAGCGAGACGCTGGTTTTGCAGAGTTGGGGATGTCTCGAGCGAAACGCCTTGGTTTCAGAATTTGTTGAGGATGTCTCGAGCGACACGCTGGTTTTGCAGAGCCGACCGCGACACGGAAAAGCGCCCCTCGCGCAGGAATTCCAAGGATGTCTCGCGCGTGCCGCGTCCCGCGCGCGGGTATTTGGATTTCTTGGGATTTTGACAGGATTTCTCAAGCGAAACGCTTGTTTTTCATAATTTGTTGAGGATGTCTCGAGCGAAACGCTGGTTTTGCAAAATTGGAGGATGTCTCGAGCGGTGGCCTCGTGGGGGGCCAGAATTCAAAGGATGTCTCAGGCGAAATGCTTGTTTTCACGTCCCGCTCGCAGGAATTCCGAGGATGTCTCGCGCGTGCAGCGTCCCGCGCGTAGGAATTCAGATGATTTTGACAGGATGTCTCGAGCGAAACGCTTGTCCCCAGCACGTTCCGTAGCGCGTCCCCTTGGCAGGTCCCGCGATGCGACCCCATGGCACGTCCCCTGGCACGTTGCCTGGCGCATCCCTTGGGACGTTTCGCGGCGCGTCCTCCTGGCATGTTCCCCTGTCCATTAGCTCTGGGGCAGCTACTATGTGTTCAGGCAGCTCGAGCTTAAGATCCAGATCAGTTCGGTCAGGACTCGGATGCAAAGGAGGACTCGATCCACGAGGCTATAGAGCACAATCGCGCCATGGCACATCGCAATTCAGCACGGCGCAGCACAGCACTGATTTCGGCACGGTACATCAAGGTCGCACTCAGCATTGCAACTTGGCACGTTCCTTGGCACGTTCCGTGGGGCGTCCTTTGGCAGTCCCCCTGGCACGTCGCGTCGCGCGTCCCCTGGCACATCCCGTGGCACATCCATTGGCACGTTCCGTAGCGCGTCCCCTTGGCACGTCCCGCGGTGCGACCCCATGGCACGTCCCCTGGCACGTCGCCTGGCGCATCCCTTGGGACGTTTCGCGGCGCGTCCTCCTGGCATGTTCCCCTGTCCATTAGCTCTGGGGCAGCTACTATGTGTTCAGGCAGCTCGAGCTTAAGATCCAGATCAGTTCGGTCAGGACTCGGATGCAAAGGAGGACTCGATCCACGAGGCTATAGAGCACAGTCGCGCCATGGCACATCGCAATTCAGCACGGAGGCCTAGGAGACTGCCAGGATGTGTCCATCACCCTGGATGTCTCAATCACAGGGTGCGGGACACGTTTTGGTCAGGGGCATGGCCCCAGGAAGCCCCAGGAGGCCCCAGGATGTTTAGGGAATGCCTAGGAAGCCCCAGGAGGCACCAGGAGAGCCCAGGAGGCCCCAGGACGTCCCAGGACGTCCCAGAAGGCTTCAGGAGGCCCCAGAAGGCTCCAGGAGGCCCCAGGAATGCCGAGGAGGCCCGAGGAGGCCTTAGGAAGGCCCAGGAGGCGAAAGGGGCGAAAGGGACCCACGTGTTTTCACACTTGTTCCGCTCAGGGGCGAAAGGGACCCACGTGTTTTCACGCTTGTTCCGTTCAGGGACGAAAGGGACCCACGTGTTTTCACGCTTGTTCCGCTCAGGGGCGAGCTTCGTCCCGCTTCGGAACTGAATCGGATCTTGAGCTCAAGCTGGTCGAGCGCCCCGCGCGTTTCGATTGCGGCCAGCTCTGGGCGAGCCACGGGTTAATTCAGCTCGAGTTTAAGATCCATATCAGTTCGGCCAGGTGTCGGATGCAAATGACGACTTGGTCCACAACGCAATTCGTGGGGTGTCTCGTGGAATATTTCGTGGGGTGTCTCGTGGAATGTTTCGTGAGGTGTCTCGTGGAATGTTTCGTGGGGTGTTCCGTGGTGTGTCTCGTGGGGTCTTCCGTGGGGTGTTTTGTGGGGTGGTTCGTGGTTTGTGTTTGGCTTCCAGTTCGGGTCCGCCTCTTGCTTCGTCCCGCTTCGGAACTGAATCGGATCTTGAACTTAAGCTGGTCGAGCGCCCCGCGCGTTTCGATTACGGCCAGCTCTGGGCGAGCCACGGGTTAAGGCAGCTCGAATTTAAGATCCAGATCAGTTCGGCCAGGAGTCGGATGCAAAGAACGACTTGGTCCACAACGCAATAGAGCACAGCACATGTCAACGCATCATGACACGTTCCAAGTCAGCACAGCGCGGCAGAGCACAGCCCCTGGCACGGCACATCGCCATCGATGCCTTCAGCATTGCAAGTGCCCGTCGCCTAGTTCGGTGTCGCGAAAACGTTTCCATGCTCCGCATTTCCATATTCCTTTCCGGGTTCGTGGGCCGATCATGTTGAGGATGTCTCGAGCGAAACGCTTGTTTTTCAGAATTTGTTGAGGATGTCTCAAGCAAATCGCTTGTTTTATGTTATAGAGTGTCCTCTCCTGGGGACCTGAACTCTGAGGATTTCTCAAGTGGATTGCTTGCTTTCACGTGCCCAGGTCTTGAGGATGTCTCGAGCGAGACGCCAGGTTTCACGCCTCCAGGTGGCCCAGGCAGATGTCTAGCATGAGGATTTGTTGAGGATGTCTCGAACCAGAGGCTTGTTTTCACGTGTCCAGGTCGCCCAGGCGGATGTCTAGCATGAGCATTTGTTGAGGATGTCTCGAGCGAGACGCTTGTTTGCACGTGTCCAGGTTGCCCAGGCGGATGTCTAGCATGAGGATATGCTGACAACGTCTTGAGCGAAACGCGTGTTTTCACGTGTCCAGGTCGCCCAGGCACAGCACAGCCCTCGGCACGGTACATCAATATCGATACCCTGAGCATTGCAGCCTGGCATGTTGCCTGGCACGTTCCGCGGAGCGTCCCGTGGCGAGTCCACCTGGCACGTCGCGCGGTGCACGTCCATTGGCACGTTCCGTAGCGCGTCCCCTTGGCACGTCCCGCGGTGCGTGCCCATGGCACGTCCCCTGGCAGTCGCCTGGCGCGTCCCTTGGGACGTTCCGCGGCGCGTCCTCTTGGCATGTTCCCTCTGTCGATTAGTTCTGGGGCAGCTACCATCTGCTCAGGCAGCTCGAGCTTACGATCCAGATCAGTTTGGTGAGGACTCCGATGCCAGGGAGGACTCGATCCCCGACGCTATATAGAGCACAATCGCGGCATGGCACATCGCAGTTCAGCACGGCGTAGCACAGCACAGCCGTCGGCACAGTACATCATCATCGATACATTCAGCATTGCATGTGCCCGTCGCCCAATCAGGTGTCTTTGAAATGTTGCAATGCCTTACATTTCTATATTCCTTTCCGGGTTCGTGGGTCGATCATGTTCTCTCGAGCCGCGCTCCTGCCGGCCTCGGGGCCTGGCGAGGGCCCCCCGGAGGCAACCGAGCGGCGAGATGCCTTCAGGCGCGAAGAGGTCTGGGAGGAGGGTTTCTCCGAAGGGCTTTGGCGACCCCTCCTCCTCCTCCTCCTCCTCCTCCTCCTCCTCCTCCTCCATCTCCTCCATCTCCTCCTCCCCCTGCCCCTCCTCTACCTCCTCGTCCTCCTCGTCCTCCTCTTCTTCTTCTTCTTCTCCTTCTTCTTCTTATTCATCTTCATCTTCATCATCATCTTCTTCTTCTTCTTCCTCTCCTCCCTCCATCTCCTCCATCGCTCCTCCCCCCCCCTCCACCTCCTCCTCCTCCTCCTGCCCCTCCCCCCCTTCCTCTCT